GGTAGGTGACTGAGCTCAAGGCCACAGCTGACTGTTGTGTTGCATAAGCGTTTTCTTTATCTCACTGTGTGATGTTTTCTGTTTTCACAGGAGCCCAACAAGAGGCCTCTGTCCCAGAGTCTGTCCACTGTCATCACTCCAGTCTTAACTGAGGTAAGACATACCAGTCACCGCCACAGTTGAACAGTCAATGCCAAAATCAGAAATCCATTTATGTTTAAATGCTGGTTTGTATTTGTACTTGCCAGCAGTGAGGCTACATATTGTCTATGGTGGCACTGATCCAACTCTAATTGGGTTTGAAAATGTTTTTGGGTCCCCTAAAGTTTTTTTTTTTCCCCCCGTTTTGGGTCCCATTTCCCTGTTTCACCAAGGTCTGCTCACTATAGGATTTCTGGCTTCGACACTGGTATAGAAACGATATCAGCATGAAGATTAAAAGTGGCCCTTGAATGCTTTATTATATCTTAAAAGCATCTTTTTAAAGGCAGCCGTCACTCCCTCAGGCCTCTTACTAGTCAGTATGGAGCAATGAGGTATTTGAGGCGGAGAGCGGAAAATAGAGGGATGCTGGAAAAAAAGCCCAGGGACAAGTGACTTCGCACTAATTTGTTCCACCCTCTCCTTCATTCAAGGACAAATCCTTCCATTTCCTCTCATGCGCTTCATGAGAGTGCAGTGCACTGTAGTCTAGATTCTTGTCTCCACAAGAAGATTGTTTTTAGAGTTGCCGATATAGAAATAAAACGGATTTCATAGTGCCCTATAATTATAATGATTTTTTTTTGTGGTAATAAAAATAGATGTAAGTGAACAATAGCCTTTAAAATTACTTAAAATACATATATGATAGCAATGAGGCAATGATAATTAGTTCAAATAAAGTATCAAAAGCAAGAAATCATATGGTTTTATTGAACAAAATTGTTTAAATACATAATGTATTATAAACAATAGAGCTAATACATTACGCATTACATCAAAGGCCTGCAGAGGGCGCCAACGGCCTGACGATTGTTTTTACACATTGCTGTGCAATCTAATCCTGGTTTAATATTGACCAAGCACCATTTAATTCAAATGTCCACTTAATCTTTAATATTTGGCCATTTCTTTAGAACAGAAATGCTATAGCTACTGTAATTAAATGAATATGTGGACATCAAAACGTGTAAACTCACAGTGAGGCTTTGAGCTTTTATTTTAAAAACCGCTATGTATTCTCCTGAGTTTGCATAGATTTATAAATGATTTACCTTACAAATCTGATGAAAAGGCACATGTTGCGTTCCCAGATATACGTTATAATAAACCCAAACTCACAACAACATACAGAGATGGCGTTTGAGACGCTCCACACATGTAAATGATAACAGTTCCTGTGGAACTACTGTGAACGGAGCCGCTGTGTGACGCGTGTACACGTTTACACGTTGACGCGTGTACAAGTAGCGCATATAGGCTACTGTATTAGAACTGCATCGCATATAATTATTTAATTAAATTGTAGCGTTTGTGAATTCACAATTATGCTTAATTATGATTTTTAAATGGGTTTAATATATCATGAAGCCTTGGAAAACAGACTAATAATGTGTTTTATACATTCTCGACTGTGAAATGCGCCACTTCTGTTTTTTTGCTGGTTAGTCGACGCGAGCAAAATGAAGTTGAGGATTTTAAAAAATCGAATAGTCGAATAAAATCGACGAATCGCAACAGCCCTAATTTGAAGTGAGGGTGAATATGAAACATTCAGAGGGAAAGTACACTACCATTCAAAATATTTTTGAAATCTTTTTTATGCATTTTTTTGTTATCTTTTGTTGTAAAAAAAATAATAAAAAAGACTGTCACTTTTGATCAATTTAGTGCATCCTTGCTGAATAAAACGATTTATTAAAAATACCCTGACCTTTGATATTTTGTATTTTGGGTTGTGTTCAGCAACATATGAGTGCTTTTTACATTACTTCGATGTAATGGTCAGAAATGATTTCTCTATCAGAAAGAAAACATCTACTGGTCAACTAGTAAGCTTCCTTCATGCACAGATTCCTCAGCTTTCGTTTTCTTCCATGCAGGTTCTCTAGGGGAAGAACATCATCCTCATCGCACCAGTGATTATTCCATTAGCCTGTCCGTCTCTCATCAGTCCCGCCCCCCGGCATCAGCTCAGCGAATCCTGACACCAGCAGACTCTGTGACGTCTACCCTGGAGGACCAACAGTCCTTCACTAGCTTATCAAGAGAACTCCTCAAACTCCTCAAGCTTCCCCTAGTTTCACTTTTCTTTTATAATCTCCTGGAACACTCTTTGGCGTGTGAGTGTATGTGCGTGCGAGCGCTTGTGTGTATGCGTAATAGTGTGTTTGTAATGGAGACTGCTTAAGCAATGGACAAAACGTAGATGTAACTCCTTTGGCTAAGCACAGAGTGAGATGGAGGCAGATCGTTTTTGCATTATCGTACCCGAGCTTTTGGAAGAATGCATTAAGTGAATGCCATCACAGGGCGAGGAGACCGGCCCGTCGCCGCCTCCTCCACCCTAAACAAAATACAAGATTGTGTGCATGACTCTGAACAAAATGCATGTGTGAAGACGGATGTCTGTCGGAGTGTGTGCGCATCCGAGCCCTGGTGAAGGAGATTGCAGTTCTCATGCTGAAATCTCAGGTAGTCTGCAACGAGCAGACCAGTCATCCAGGAAGACAGAGGGCGCTATGTTTGGATTTGTGTACAGATCTGTGTATATAGTCTCAATTTTACAGACCTTTAAAAGAGATGATGGATTTTTGCAAATGAATCACTGTGTACAGATGGCCAAGAGCTTCTGTAGATATTGTTAGAAACAAAACAAAGGTAAATATTTAAAAAATCAAGCCTCTGAAATGGCCATTACTGAAATGCCTTGCCTTTTTATCAAATGTACATTTTTGGGGGGTGCTCTGTTAATTTTAATAAGAAATTAAAAGGTTTTACTCAAGGTTTGAGATCCTACCAACTTCTCTTTTGTCTGTTCAATCTCATATAGTAGTAGTAATTTCAAAATAATCATTATTAATGGCAAAATATTTTCATTGTGAGGCGTAAGTATATTTTTTAATTGAAGTACTTCATCAAAAGTTGATTTATTCATAGCTTATTGGACCCAATGTAGTTTAAAATCCATATACAGTGTTATGTAGAAAAAATAATTTAAAAATACATAGAGGGAAATACTGCACTCTAATGCTCATAGTTGTATGCCAGTTATCTGGTCCGTTCTTATTGTAACCCCTTCAAATAATGCAAATTTAGTTGCAAAATAACAGCATTAACTATGGTCAAACTTAATTACTTAAAAGAAACCTTTACAATACTTTGTCTTACCCATTACTTGGTGTAGATGGATGGCTATTAATACAAATTATTTAGAGGCACGTTTTTTATCTTTAGGCACTTTTTTTTCTGAAAGATCAAATCCACAATTACACAAACAGGACTGTGTTGCTTGAAGTACAAGAGAGAAAATAGATTTAATAGCAGTGTGATGATGTACTTCCACTCTTTAGTTTCCATTTAAACTGGTTTTTCAGGATAATGGTAAATTGCATTTTCCATAAAAGAGCATCACTTGCTCTTTTTTCACGTATCTATTTATTTATTGATAGTAACTTATACACTTATGTTCACAGATTATCTACACTTATAAATAAAACCCGCCTGCAAAGGCACCAACGCACGGCCACTTTAACGCTGGTCTTAACCATATCATGCTCTGTGAAACTACCAAACCTTCTGCCGATGGTTGTCGTCTCAAAACACACCATTCAATTTCAGGTAGAATTTGCTTTTCTTGGGCTGATTTAGGATTGTGTTGTACTTTTGCTACTGCATAACAAATCCCAAGCCCAGCTTTGCTAAAAATGGTGAATCAGTTCTTCGGTCAATAGTAAAGGGAACACCAGCACTTTCAAACCACAGATCAAGAGAAAAAAGAAGCCATGTGTCTAGATCTTCGTTTGTTTGGCGTCTGTGTTATTTGACATCTCGTTGTTTACGTATGCCAAATTGTCTTTCGTCATCATTTCAAGCTTGCTCTTTTTCTTATCTTCTGGCTCAAGCTCCATACATTTAGCCTCAATTTCCGCCGGGTCTATGTAGGTGTAGAAGTAAGCCATGAACGCAAAGATGATACTGACAGCCACCAGGAGACACGCGAACAGCACGTATTCTGCCCACTACAACAACACATACACACAGATGAGCTCGTAGCAATACGGATGCCAACAGTAAGTGACATTTGACTAGGATTTTGTCACAAAAAAGAGAGCAGTTCCAGTGGTATACCTGATCTGGAAGTGAGCCTGCCTCAGCCACAATGAGCACAATGATGTTCCCCACAGCAACAGTCAACAGCCAACCAGCCTGGAGGACTGACTTCATATTGCTTGGTGCCTAAAAGGTAACACATTATGAGACAATTAAAAAAAATAAAATAAATAAAGAGTTAAAGGGATAGTTCACCCAAAAATGAAAATTTGATGTTTATCTGCTTACCCCCAGGGCATCCAAGATGTAGGTGACTTTGTTTCTTCAGTAGAACACAAACGAAGATTTTTAACTCAAACCGTTGCAGTCTGTCAGTCTTATAATGGAGGCTTTGAGAGTCAAAAAAACATACACAAACAAAACCAAATTAAACCCTGCGGCTCTTGACGATACATTGATGTGTAAAGACGATCGGTCTGTGCAAGAAACTGAACAGTATTTATATCGGTTTTTTACCTCTGATTCACCGCAATGTCCGAACTGTCCTGAGCGGCGGCGCATACTCCTGAGCACATTCTCAACAGCTGGCGCGTGACGCGTCTTCTTCTTCTTGCTTTACGGCAGATCGCAGACTTATAAGTCAGATCTATCTCTCAAATGGACCATTGACACTCTATCAACAATATCAATTAGGAGTGTCAATGGTCCATTTGAGAGATAGGTGGCGGTAATGCACATAAGTCTGCGATTAAAAAAAACGATATAAATACTGTTCAGTTTCTTGCACAGACCGATCGTTTCGTGTCTTTACACATCAATGTATCGTCAAGAGCCGCAGGGTTTAATTTGGTTTTGTTTGTGTATGTTTTTTTGACTCTCAAAGCCGTGATTCCCATTCACTTCCATTATATGACTGACAGACTGCAACAGTTTGAGTTAAAAATCTTCGTTTGTGTTCTACTGAAGAAACAAAGTCACCTACATCTTGGATACCCTGGGGGTAAGCAGATAAACATCAAATTTTCATTTTTGGGTGAACTATCCCTTTAATTAGAATTTTTCTGAATGTCGCGTTCCAGAGAGCACGCCATACCTGTGAATAGGAGAAGTCCAGGCCAGTGACAGAGAAGACCACTTCTCCGCAGGTCATCAAAAAGTACTGAATAACCTGCCAGGCCATGTGGATGCCGTTCGGTTCAATGTCCTGTATTGCTTTAATGTTCTCGGTACACTGCACACACATTCAGATGGAATTATTTGTGATTTCAACTTTTGAGAAGGGCAACAAACTAGCTATATGAAATTATTTAAACACAACTCATTTTGTGATCCCAAAAGATCCAAGACTCCAGGATATATATATATCCACAATTCATTTTGTGAGTCCAAAAATGTAAAAAGCAAAAAATTCTATTTGACTTTAGTTTACATCTTGCATGTTTAAATTAAGTTGAAATATTTTATTAATATCAATATCAATTTTATTAATAATAACACTCATTTAAGTCATCCTGATGCCATCTCATAAGTTTGCTGAGGCCCCCTAGTGGGCCCCTGCATGACAACTACTGGTTTAAATGGATACTTCACCCAAAATGAAAATTCTTTCCATATACTCAACCTCATATCAATTCAAACCTGTTTAACATACTGTCTTCTGTGGAACACAAGTGATGATATTTTGAAACAAAAAAAAAACAATGAAAGTCAGTGGTATCCAGTGTTGTTCTGGACACAGATGACTTCCATTCTATGGCTCAAAATAGTTGAGACACTTAAATATATTCTTTTGAGTTCTGCAGATGGAATAAAATGCATACAGGTTTGGAAAAACATGGGGGCAAGTAAATGAGCATATAGGATGATCTATTTCTAGTTCTAACTATTCCTAATAGTGTTCATAGTATTATCTGTGACTGTAAAAACAAGACTTACAGATTCTCCAAAAGTAAAGGTGCTTGGGATCAGGACTGTGTAGGAACTTCCGAAGCCCAGCTGCAGGATATAGTGGCACGTCTGTCCTTCTCCGTTCACAATAGTAAAATTGGCTCTGGGAAGGGAGATATCAAATCAGATCAGTGTAGAAAAGCAGCCTAGCAAAGGGTTTGCACTGTATTTTCATCTGTACAAACAACTGTACGACAGCTTTCATGTATATGTATAGCTATATATTTGTAACAAAACAAAACACATACTTGCCGTGGGTAACATTGAGGTAGCCTGATGCTTGTAAGGGAGCGATGGGACCCAGATTATCAGACTTTATTGTGAAGTTCAGATTAGATCTAAAGCCATTCACAAACCTACAACATATATTTGCTGTTAATGAATTTGAATAGGCATTCCATTTTCAAAACATCTCTTGCAATTCAACTTGAAAAGAATATAAAAATAAATAAATTCAGAAATGCACTAACCTGATCGCATTCATGCCTTGATTGGGTTTCTCAGTTATGTCATTGAGCTGTAAATGAAACAATTAATCAGAACACACTCAACGTTACAGTTATGTATCCTCATGACATTAATGTTACCAAAATAATCAGCACATTTATTTAAGATACTGAATTAAATATCAAGATTTTAAAAAATTAATGCAGCACTCACAGTCTGTAGCATTCCATCAGCATTTATCAAAACCGTGTGCCTTGTTTCCTTCTGGAGATAAGCTGTAGCGTTTCTTCCTCCAGCAAAGACTGTAACGTTCTCAGTGTCCAGTGTCATATATTCATTAGAGGACTGGGGGAGCAAAACAACATCAAAGATGATTATGTACCGTTTACATACAGCACATGTGCATAATGTTTCCTCAACTACAAGTATTTTTATGTCCCAGGGATTGATTCTTATGAAAATTAACAGTTTTCTTTCCAAAATGCACAACTGTTAGAAAATGTCAGGTCAGTGTTAGGGTCAGTCAGATCTTTTTAAAGTT